CTCATCCTCCCTGTTGTACCTCACTTAAATTGTCCATGTCGATCATAATTATTATCTACACACGTACAGTACACGGTGTCTATGTATGTATGTATGTATGTATGTATGAATGAATGTATATATATATATATATATATATATATATATATATATATATATATATATATATATATATATATATATATATATATATATATGTGTGTGTGTGTGTGTGTGTGTGTGTGTGTGTGTGTGTGTGTGTGTGTGTGTGTGTGTGTGTGTGTGTGTGTGTGTGTGTGTGTGTGTGTGTGTGTGTGTGTGTGTGTGTGTGTGTCATCGGGTAGTAGTGGGGGCGATGGATGAAAGGTCAGTAGATATCATTAAGTGAGTTTTTGTCCGTGTACAACAAATACAAGAACTAGTATATAATTGTGTTCACCTGGACAATATATGAACAGGTGAACAGCCAGGTAAGGGAGAAACTCAGGTGAGGTAGATTGGTGGGCACAGTGTGAGGTAGATGCGTGGGTACAGTGTTAGGTAGATGGGTGGGCACTGTGTTAGGTAGATGGGTGGGCACAGGTATGACACTTCAGGTATGGTCGTTAAGGGAGGCACATGACCGTGATTCATTAACCTGTGCGTCATCATTATTCGCTCTAACAGCTTAACAAGACCTTGGGGGAGAGGAGAGTGTGTGTGTTTTTATAATAGGACCGCACCCGAATGTAGCTAAAGAGCACAATTTCCCGCCGGGCAAGAAGTGCATTTGGGAGTGTTGGTGCGTTCATGAGGAAGTAAGGGTGTGTTCACTGCCCAAACAAGAACTGAGACACGCTTCACGCTATGGTTGGTAATTATTATCAACTGTATCGCAAGACTTTGGTGTTTACGCTTTGGATTTCAACTTTATTCCAAATTCCAAGAAACACGTCTGATTATCTTCGTTCATGACTCAGCCAAAGTTCTTATAAATGTAAGTTATTCATTCTAACAGTTTAAAAAAAAGTTATTAAGAGTTTTTTTTTTTTTTTTTACTTTTTACATTACTTCACAAAGGTCGGAAGACTGTAGTTTATTCCTGAGCTTCTCTTCTCTTGGAACTGTGGAGGATCTAAGTGACCTTGTGGGACCTGTCTTGACCTTTACCCCGGCCGTCCGTCTGTTGTTAATATGAAGTGTGTGAGAGGTCAAGGCATTATTAACGTGATCCTCTCTCTCTCTCTCTCTCTCTCTCTCTCTCTCTCTCTCTCTCTCATGAAGCAGTAATAACAGCAGAACAATCTCGTTGGTGTTGATACAATCTTATTCTTTACGATTCTCTCTTTTTTTTTAAACTTCCGGTTCCCGTTTTCTTTACAGTAACTCGCTACGTTTTCTTTTACCTCGAGTCTTCTGCTGATGGCAAGATTTTATTTATTTATTTATTTTATTAAGATTATGTATCTGTGAATATAGTAACCAATCACAGGTGAGATCTAAGTACAGGTGTAAAAATATATAGTACAGGGGTGGGGGGGGGGGGTTAGGAGGGTGTTGTAGACTATTGTATTATTTGAGAGTAAATCTTTCCTCTTTTACGAGTCTTATAGAAAGTTTCAGAAGGCTACGAAACAGAGATGGTTGTAGATAACATTATTTTGTGGTCTGTTATTATTATTATTATTATTATTATTATTATTATTATTATTATTATTATTATTATTATTATTATTTTATACATACATCTTCACTATAGATACTTAGCCAACATTTCTCTATAATACTTTAGTGTCTGGTTAAGGTAACTGGTGTTTGTGTAACCCGGGATGAAACATAACACGTCCACCTGTCTGCACTCTGTTGAACATGCACAGTGCTGACATCAACCCGTGAGTGACTGATACTGAGAACCCAACATGGCCAGGTTAGGTTAGGTTAGGTTAGGGGACCATGTTGAGTATCTGGGGGGTGTGTTGGTGAAATATTGTAGTAGTTGTGGTAGTTGTGGTAGTTAGTTGTGGTAGTTGTGGTAGTAGTGTTGGTGGGGGGGGGTATGTCACGGTTGGCTGCACTTGAGTAAGATACACTTCCTCCCTCTCTCTTCCTCCCTCTCTCTTCCTCCTCTCAGAGTAAGCAACAGATGAGTACAGCATTCTTCCTTCTTCCATTCCTCCCTATTCCTTCCTCCTTCTCCTCCTCCTCCTCCCCCCTTCCTGTTCATCACCCCCACCTGCTGCCGACATAGGAGATAAGCCACGTCTCCCCATCCTCAACCACCCCCCTCCCACTCCCAACCACGCCCCCTCCCCTCCTTCCCACGCCCCTCCCACTCAACCGCCCCTCCCCCTCCAGCCACGCCCCCTCCCCTCCTTGCCCCTCCCCACTGCCTTGCCCCTCCCATTCAACCCGCCCCTCCCCACTCAACCCGCCCCTCCCCTCAACCTTGCCCCCTCCCCTCAACCACGCCCCCTCCCCTCCTTGCCCCCCTCCCCCACTCAACCGCCCTCACTCCTTCCCGCCCCTCCCCCACTCAACCACGCCCCTCCCACTCCTTGCCTCCCCACTCACTCCCGCCCCTCACTCAACCCCGCCCTCCCCTCAACCCCACGCCTCCCATCGCCACGCCCCTCCCCTCCAACCCCACGCCCCTCCCCCACTCAACCCACCCCCCTCCTTCTCTGATGCTTCCGTCCGTTCCTTCCTCCTTCTCTCACTCGTACTATATTTTTCTCATTGTCTTCCTACACACACACACACACACACACACACACACACACACACACACACACTCTCACATACACACGTACTTAGCTCCCTTCCCCCTCACTGCCCCAGCCACCTTACACCCTGTCCCCACCTTACACCCTGTCCCCACCTTACACCCCTCTCACCGTTATTCTTCTCACCTGTAATTATCACTTAAGTATCTCCTTGTCTGTCATTTGCCTCTTTATCTACAATTTTTTTTAATATCCAATTTTTTTTCGTTTGATAATTTTTTTTTTTTACTTTTCATATTTTCTTCGTCTTTTCTTTCTGCCTTAATTTTTCCTGTTATCTCCATTTTGTTTTAATTGTTCATTATCTTCAGTTGTTTGAAGTGTAAGTGTGTGTGTGTGTGTGTGTGTGTGTGTGTATGTGTGTGTGTGTGTGTGTGTGTGTCATCAGTTGAGGTTGATATAGTTCTCATTGCCCTTCTTCATAATGTTCTTTCATGCGTGGAGAAATATCGTATTGTTCTCTGAAAGCATCTCCTCGGCGTGGAGAAATATGTGAGTGCCGAGTCATCTTCCTCATCTCGATATAAGGTCGTCTTCACGTAGTTCACAGGGGCAGAGTGGTGCTACAGAGTGTGCTACAGAGCAGGGTGCCAGAGTGTGAAGTTAAGGAGGTGGTGGCTTGCTAGAGGTGAAGCGCATAGAGGTGGTGCTTGCTGGAGGTGGTGCTTGCTAGAGGGTGGTGTTGAGGTGGAAGCTTACAGAGTGCGGTGCTTGCTAGGGAGTGTGGTGCTTAAGGAGTGTGTGCTTGCTAGAGTGTGGTGCTTGCTAGAGGTGGTGCTTGCTGAGTGCGGTGCTTGTTGGCGTGGTGCTTGCTAGAGTGTGGTGCTTATAGAGGTGGTGCTTGCTAGAGTGTGGTGCTTGCTAGAGTGCGGTGCTTAGAGCAGGCTTGCTGGAGGTGGTGCTTGCTAGAGTGCGGTGCTTGCTAGAGTGGTACATAGAGTGTGGTAAGCCTACAGAGTAAGTGGTATGTTTGCTAGAGTGGTGCTTGCTAGAGTGGTGCTTACAGAGTGCGTTGCTTGCTAGTGCGGTGCTTGCTAGAGTGTGGTGTTTTGGCTAGTGGTGCTTTCATAGAGTGCGGTGCTTACAGAGGTGGTGCTTGCTAGAGTGTGTTGGTTTGCTGAGCGGTTGCTTAATAGAGCGTAAGGTTGGTTTGCTAGAGTGTGGTGCTTGCTAGTGTGTGGTGCTTGCTAGAGTGTGTTGCTTGCTAGAGTGTGGTGCCTGCTTGTGTGTGTTAGTACAGTCGACAACATGCATCACTGTTAACAAGGGACCAACTCACGCTGTGTAATTTGAGTTATTCATAAAAATGCTGTGGCCCCCAACACCTCACCCTGCCCTAGTACCTCACCCCACCCGACTCTCTCTCTCTCTCTCTCTCTCTCTCTCTCTGGTGTAGACAAAAATATATCCAGGTCAGTGTTTACAGTCTGGCGATAACTTATTAACTAAGATAATTATGTCAACACAAAAATGAGCTTAGGTTAGGTTAGGTCAGGTTAGGTTAGGTTAGGTTAGGTTAGGTTAGGTTAGGTTACCTAGGAAAAATTGGTTCAGTCTCAGTGGGATGGAAGTTGCATTAGTTTTTTCTTCTCTTGTAAAAATATTAAGAATAATGAATGGTTGACGTCACCACTGAAATAGGAAGCTCCACCCATACCTGTGAAGCACCTTCCTGGGACCTCTTGTGATTGGTTTAAAGGTTCCATGACTTGGTGTGATTGGCTTAAAGATTCCAGGACCTCTTGTGGATTGGCTGAACGACTTCCATTAATTGTTTATATGTATATTCGAGGATTACGTGATTGTGCTCGAGGGATTAGTACTCGTACTCAAGTGAGTTTCGTAGTGGGCTAATTTATTGTATTCAAGCGGCTGGTATAGTAGCTACTCAAGGAGTGGACATAAATACTCATGTGGTTTACATGAGTACTCATGGAATTGTCATAGTACTCAAGGGGTTGTTACAAGTACTCGAGGCCCGGCCATGGAAGGGGTTGTCTTAAGTACTCAAAAGTTTGGCGTAAGTACTCAAGGGATGAAATTCTATTTCGTCACGAAAATTTTATATAAATTAAAATATTATTTATTTATTATTATTTATTTTATAAGCGAGTGAGTGAATGAGTGAGTGAGTAAATAAGACTGTTGTTGAACACCTTAAACCCTCTTATGTATGTTAGTCGTCTTAATCCTACCATATTTCCGGTTATTTACGGGTGTTGCTAAGTGATGATAATTTAACTCCGTGTTTCGTTACAGGTGAGGTGCGGCGCCCTCCACTACACCATCACCTGCTCCTCACCTACCGGCCTCTCACTCCTCACCTACTGACTGACTCATGCCTCATCAGTCATTCCCAATCTTCAGACTCATTCTGGCTGGACTCTGATTGTCTTCAAGTCAGCTGATGGAACCAGTATGTGCTCACGTCAGCTGACAGGCCTCGGTCGTGTTGACACAGTTGAGTGACCAGCGCCTGCTAACACGGGCCACCCTGGATATGTTTGGGAGTCTTCTTTCCGAGTATCAGAATGCCGGGTAGCGGGGGACCAGGTCAGTGCGAGGCAGGTGAGATCAGGTTACACACGAGCGTGGACCATGGGTTGAGAATCAGTCACTCGGGGCTGTGGGTCGGATGTGACGATGCTAATGGTCCTGAAGCACACCCGGCGGAGCCCACACCGCCAGAACCAAGCCCGCGGGTACGGACGACGGAGGTACGTGAGCACGGGCAGTTCGTGACGGTGGTGGAGGTGGAGAAGGATGATGATGACGAGTGTGGCCTGACATGCCATGCTTCGCGGGCCACGACCCAGCCGGTTCCCCGCCCAGCTCCCCGAGGGTTCGTCACGGTGGTGGCTGTCGGGAGCAACACTGACACTAGTCTACACCTCCACCAGACCGGCAAAGTCGCCATCGACTCCAATCTAAAGGTACAGATGGAGCTCCCCTGCAACATGGAAGCTGATTACGTCAACCAAGAGATGATTGATAGAGAGAGGAAGATGGCAGAAGAGTGGAAGGCCAAGAGTGTGCCTGACCAGGTTGTGGTGTATCGTCTGCCAGGGGAGCGGCTGGGACTGGGGCTCAAGTTTGACGGCGGTATGGGGGCCCGCGAGTGTGTGCGGCGGCTCTTCATACAGAGTGTCGCTGTGGACTCGCCGGCCGCACGCGCTGCTGTCCCGTGGGGTGAGCTGCAGCCCGGGGACCAGATCCTCAACATCGAGGGCTGTGCTGTGTCTTCTATGACGAGAGTGCAGTGCGTTTCCTTCCTCAAGGATGCTGCTATGAAAATTACAATCGGTGTGCTGAAGGGAAATGGACAACTCCCAGACATTGACGCGTGTACCTCAGAGAGTCCTGAATATATAAGAGAGGAAGTTGAAGAAGAGGACGAGGGAGCAGACGACCCTTCACGTCTACCGCCGCTTATTGTGGGAGAGATGAGAAAAAGAGTCCCTCCACCTCCACTACCACCAAGGGCGCGACCTAGAAAATCCCCCGCTCGTCCCCCAAAGGATCCTGTGCCTATACCTCCACCCCCAAGTGCTTTCCAGGACCTAGAAAACTCATCTTTGACGGAAAAGAGTTCTAGTGGCGTCTCCTTGACTTGTGAAAATTCTGACAGCAAAGATCAGCCATCACACGGGTGGCGTGAATATGTTTTAGCCCGTCGTAGTCGTCCTGGTGAATTAGAAGAACTTTTAGAGGACCTTGAGTTCCATCTTCCAAAGACGTGGACTACGAGGAGGCTGGGGGAGAGTATGGACGGAGGCCTACCCCCTCGGCCTACCTTCTACTTAGATCTTGTCGGGGAGGAAGACGCTATGGGACCGTGTGAAAGTGAGAGTGATGAAACCAGCAGCTCCGTGTCCACGGTCATTGATCGTCTCTCGTTGTCGTCGTCAACTACTGTGTCGAGAAATTCTTCATTCAACGCCACAGCCGATACTTCCAGGTTTGATTTAGCTCGAGCGCTCAGTCCCTTCGAACAGTTAGAGAAAGAGTTAGAGACAGAGGTGCGACCAGAGGCACAGCAGACGCCCACCACAGCTCCCCGGGACGAGAAAATGCCGGCACCACCTGTAGACCGCAGCACTAAGCCCGCCACGACGGAGTCTCCTCCTGAGGTTGAATCTCCCTCTGTCGTCACGCGGAAGACATCATCAAAGTTAAAGATGCGTCCTTCCATCAAATCATTCTCATTCAGCCTGAAAGGACGTCCATTTTCGTGGCAGCAGGGAAAAGGCAGTACAGAGCGGGTCGATCCAGGCACTGGGCGCACTGACACCTTTCTATCTATCAAAAAATCCTGTAAGCGGCCCGCCCCTCCCCCTCCTCCACGCTCCATCGACTGTGGGACTCGTCACACTGACTCTCCACCCACTGTTGCCTCCAGTGTTAGCACCGACAAGACCACCAAGGATAAAAGTGCATTACCAGACACCAGCAACAACACTCAGGGAAATTCTGACAACTATATTGATCTAATAGCAGAGGCAGCTAAACAAAACATATGTAATGAAGCGGGGAAAGTGGCCAGTAACTTGTTAAGGAAAGAAACTATTTCTAAAACAGACCAAAAAGAACCGACTGATTTCCCTGTTCTGGTACAACCCAAACAACCTAAGATCTCCCCTGAGTACTTGTTGATCTTGGACTCGCCGCCTGGCACGGACGTGTTGGACAAATTCTCAGACAAGAGTTTTTACACCACCGCCGAGGAAGACGCCCAAGCGGAACAAATACAACGTGAGCAGGAAGATGAACAAATTGTTGACATTGTTGAAGCTTCAGCTGCACAGTTGGCGGTACAGCGCGAGGTTATTGAACTGTGCGTGAGTGGCCAGGACCCAGACGGTGAGATTTCTCCTTCAGTGATAAAAGTAACACCTGACCCTGAAGGCGATGGTCCCGGTTATTCAGACACTTACATCCTGACAACTCGCGCCCAGGTTCACCACGCTCTGGACGACGCAGTAGAGTCAGAGAAGTACCTCAACCAGTTACAGCTTGATACAGTAGAGTCAGAGAAGTACCTCAACCAGTCACAGCTTGATACAGTAGAGTCAGAGAAGTACCTCAACCAGTTACAGCTTGATACAGTAGAGTCAGAGAAGTACCTCAGTCAGTCACAGCTTGATACAGTAGAGTCAGAGAAGTACCTCAGTCAGTCACAGCTTGATACAGTAGAGTCAGAGAAGTACCTCAGTCAGTCACAGCTTGATACAGTAGAGTCAGAGAAGTACCTCAGTCAGTCACAGCTTGATACAGTAGAGTCAGAGAAGTACCCCAGAGAGTTGCAACACGATGGCAACTCTCAGACCGTTTCAGGAAAAGACTTGACTGACGACCAGGTGAACACAGAAGGGGTCAGTAATATTTTGGTAATCAGTGAAAATAACGTTGAAAGAGAAGCTGAAGAGGTCACACGTGACGGTACTGAGGCAGAAGTTGATGACAGCAGGCAGGCCGATGACAGCAGGCAGGCCGATGACAGCGGGCAGGCCGATGACAGCAGGCAGGTCGATGACAGCAGGCAGGCCGATGACAGCAGGCAGGTCGATGACAGCAGGCAGGCCGATGACAGCAGGCAGGCCGATGACAGCACGCAGGCCGATGACAGCAGGCAGGACGATGACAGCACGCAGGGCGATGACAGCACGCAGGCCGATGACAGCACGCAGGTTGATGACAGCTTGCGGACTGGTGACAGCACACAGACTGATGATAATGCGTGTGCCATTGACAGCTTATGGACCGATGACAGTACGCGGGCCGATGCCAGTTTGCAAGCCGATGACAGTTCACGGACAGATGATAGTTCGAGGACCGCTGACAGTTCGCGGACCGACGACAGCTCGCGGACCGATGACAGCTCGCGGACCGATGACAGCTCGCGGACCGATGACAGCTCGCGGACCGATGACAGCTCACGGACCGACAACAGCTCGCGGACCGATGACAGTTCTTTGACCGACAACAGCTCGCGGACCGATGATAGTTCACGGACCGACAACAGCTCGCGGACCGATGATAGTTCACGGACCGACAACAGCTCGCGGACTGATGACAGCTCGCGAACTGATGACAGCACTGAGGTGGAGAGCAGTTTAGAAGCTGATGAGAGTACTCAACAGAATGTCAGCCTGGAAGACGGTGATGTTAGCTCAGAAGGTAATAAAAGTGAAGTGATAAATAGTGAAACAGGAGACAATACCGTGAGGAGAGAGGAGAGTGAAGAAGTAGATGAAGGCAGTTATGTGTTAGACGATAACCAAGACATTTATGAGGTAGGATTCCTCTCTTGTTCCTCACCCAAGACCTCCCCGTCAGAACCGCCAGTAGGGAGACCTCTGCTACCTCCGCTACCTCTCGTCGATCTCAGTGAGGAGGGTGACCTTGGGCTGTATGAAGACTTCTATGGTGAATGTTGCTACTCCACCGAGGACCGACTTGATGTATCCGAAGAGTCGAGTGTTTCCCCGAACTTAGGCTGTGAGGAGATACGAATGTTGTCCATTGTACCTGAAGAGGAGAGTGGCGACCTAGACACCGTTGATGATGACTTGGACTATGTTTATGATGATGTCGCTGACGAAGGTGTGAACGATGGTGAAGGTTGGGTAGAGAGTGAAGGGATTGTTGGTGTGGATGAAGCCACTACTGTTGTTACTGCCAGTGAACCAGAAGTGACTGAGTGTAAAGGAGGCAGAACCATCACACAAAGTCACAAACACAAACGTCTGAGACACGACATCGGTGACTTGATCAGGAGGGAAATGAAACTGGATGATGACGTGACGGTGGAGGTGGAGGAAGAGGAGGAGGTGGAGAACCTGGTGGAGTGTGAGAACGAGAGGGAACTCCTGATGGTGATGAGGGCTCTCCGACAGGACCAGGAAGGCGACCACCTCAGGTAAGTCACTCATATATCCTGTACAGTAGTTCATTAAGGGGAATGTTTTTATTTATTACCAGCGTACAGTATATAAACAAGTTAAAATACACTAGCATACAGAATATACTATGTATATTGTTACACAGTGTAGGTATACAAACAATAGTATACAGTTACGTAATTCGACCAATGATAATTAATTAAATCCATTATTATTATTATTATTATTGTTATTATTATTATTTTATTACTAAATTATTATTAAATCATTATTATTACTGTGTTATTATTATTAGTAGTATTATTTCCACTACTTATCACCGTAGTAGTCGTTCGGGCGGTTTGTCTAGCCGGTGTTAGAACAGGAGGACACCGGAGCCGGGAACCTGTGATGTTATTGTCTGGTAGTATGACGTGTGTCCGGGCCAAGCATGACTCGAACCCTTGACATATTAGTGAGAGATGTGTGTGTGGGGTGTAAACTATATTCATTTAAGGGTGATAATAAACCTGAATGGTGTCCTACTCACCAAATTAGGATATATTAATGGAGTTTGTTGAAGTACTGTTTAACTTTACCTTCGTATTCAGTTATCCCTCCTAATTGATGACATTATAAAAACAGGACTAACAAACATAGGTTAGTAGGTTTATTCGCTATACCATGTACAAGATTAGAAACGCTTCAGTTACCAAAATGTGATGCAGACCTTCCTTCAACCTCTCAAGCTCAGTTGGCGGCACTCGACTGTAAACGGACCAATATACACAAGTCTCACGGATAAATAGACAAAGAAAACGAGGGCAGTCAGTTTTCTGTTAGTGTCAGGAGTAACTTAACAGTTGTTCTGGTTCTGTTTTAACGAGATGGCTACAATACGAATAATAATAATAATTATAATATTTATTCTGTTAAAATCATCATTGAGAAATACCGTAAAGAATATTCAATAGGAAACGCCCTTCGTAATATAATGATTCGCTTTAATGATAAAATACGTTAATTTCAACGTTAATTATTTTACTTTAAATAATTATATAAATATTACTAGTATCAAAACACCACAAGTAAAATAAATAATAGGTTACCATCAATTTGTCACAATAATAGTTAATATGTATAAGAAGTATTTATATCCCCGTAACGTAGCCTCACTCGGTACTTTGTCTAGGTAAGTAGGTAGTAGGTAGCTACCATACAGGGAGGTACTACCGACTGGGAAGATATTAGAAGCGTAATGTGTAGTTTAATGGTAGATCCTGCTGCCATTTCTTCTTTTTCTTCTTTGCACACTGGCTTATTTTTCTCTTCTCTTCCTCACCATTATCACGCCATCTCTCGTGTCTTGTCTTCATTCCGTTTTATTGCAAAGTTACTCGTCTCGTTTTTTCTTTTCCTTCTCATTTTGGCTTTCTGTTTTTTTTTTCACTTGTTTATTTGTTTACAGTTTTTGTTATTTTGATTTATTCTTATCTGTTTGGGTAATTTGTTTTTCTTCGGGTTTTTTGGTTTTGTTTATACTTTTTTCTTTATATTCTCATTCTTATTCCTTAACTTATGTTTATTTGTTTCTTTAATTTATTTATTTATTTGTATTTAGTCTCTTTTTATTTACTTTGTTTTAATCTGTTTATTGACTGGTTGATTAATTGATTGATTTATGTGTTATTTTACGACTAGTGGAAACATTATCTTTTGTGTGTTTTCCTCTCTTCGTTCTTTCAGTTTCTCTCTTTTCTTTACATCCTTTCTCTTTCCTTGTCTCCGTGTCCTTTCTCCTCTCTCGACTTTCTCCTCTCTCTCTCTCTCTCTCTCTCACCCGCGGATTGGTGCAACAGTTGGTGACGTCACATGTGAAGCCTGGAATGTGAGTTTACCACACTGCTGACCTCCCTGACCTCTTCTTGCGGGAGGGGAGGTTAAGCGAGGCCAGAGTGTGTTGCAGGAGGTCACGTGAGATATTCTACTAAATTGGTCGGTCACGTTGAGAGGAATTTATTGTGTAAAGGAGACACTGATGGTCTGCCTTTGCGGAGAGGGGAGGAAGGGTCTGTCAACAACAAAAGCTACCACCACCACTAACACATAAGCTACCATCACCACCACTAACACATAGCTACCACCACTCACTAACACACACGCTACCACCACCACCAACACATAAGCTACCACCACCACCAACACAGCTACCACCAACAACAACAAAAGCCACTACCACTCACTAACACATAAGCTACCACTATCATAAGCTACCACCACCAACACATATACCACCACCACCAACACACAAGCTACCACCACCAACACATAAGCTACCACCACCACCACAAAGGCTGGGCGACAGGCCAACAAAGAGGTGGCAGACCGACCCAGTATTTCGTAACTCGGCCAAGAATCAAGTGGGGAGGGGAGTGGCTGGTAGGGGCGACAACCTGAGTGGGTAGTTGGATGGTGAAGTGGGTAGGTGGGTAAAGAGGTGGGTAGATGGGTGGTGAGGTGGGTAGGTAAGTGATGAGGATGGTAGCAAGGAAGGGAGGTGATGGGAGAGGAGAAGGAAGAGAGAGAAGGGGGAAGGTAGAGTAGAAGAAAGGGAGAGGAGAAGAAAGGGAGAGGAGAAGAAAGGGAGAGGAGAAGAAAGGGAGAGGAGAAGGAAGGAAGTAAGGGAGAGAGGGAACGGCATAAACAAGATACAAGGAGTTAAAGACAAAACAAAATACGACTCTTTGGTAAAATGACCCTTTATTGAGAGAGATTTTCGTCTTTAGTCAAAAAAAATAAAAAATAAACCATAAATCTTCCTTTAGAAATAAGATAAATTTGTGTAAAGAAGTTCTGTTTGGTAAGGAAGTATTAATAGTGTGGTAGATGTAAGGTAGTGGTTGTGGTGACGTGGTGGTAGTGGTGATTGTTGAGTTGGTGGTAGTGGTGATTGAGTTGCTTGTTGTGGTTGAAAATGGTGGAGGTGGTGGTTGAGATGAAGGTGGTGATTCAGGTGGTGGTGATTGAAATGGTGATGGTTGAGGTAGTGGTGATGGTTGATGTGCTTTGTGCAGGCTCAGGTCAGCGGGGGACGTGAAGCACTATAGTGACACAGCACAATGTAAACAAAGCCATGCTGTGAGAGAGAGAGAGAGAGCGAGAGAGAGAGAGAGAGAGAAACTGGCTTTGGTCTCTCCTGCCCTGGGTCATTGCCCTGAGGACTTGGCTTTCCTCACATCAGACTTACGTGGCTGCCTCACCCGGCCTCTTATCTCACCTGGCTTCCCCTATCACGAATTACCAGACCATCATTGCCTTGACACTGTTATGACACTTGCTTTGCCCTGTGTGTGTGTGTGTGTGTGTGTGTGTGTGAAGGTCGGTACAATACCCGTCGCCATTTTCGTCTATCTTTTCCTTATATTTTATCAGTTTGTATTAGATTTTTCTCTTTCGTGTCCGTTCCTTCTTTTGGTGTGTTGTTGTTATTCTTGTTTTGTGTATTTATTATATATGTTTCACTGCTTCCCATCCTAACGTCTCCCTTCCAACCTTAATTGAGAGAGGTAAGGGTCATCTAACCTAACCTAACCTCACCTCACCTGACCTGACCTGACCTGTGATTGTTAAGACCAAATGAGACTTGAAGAGGAGACTCATTAGTAACAGGAAGAACGTCTTATTGTTCTTATTATCATTTATCTCTTCATTATTCCTTTATCTTGTTTTCTTTTCTTTTTTCTCTTTGTGTCTTTATCACTTATAATGTGGTCAGAGTGGCGTTGTGGCCCAGTAACGCAAGGGGTGGTGGTGTGGCCCAGTGTGACGCAAGGGGTGGTAGTGTGGCCCAGTGTAACGCAAGGGATGATGGTGTGGCCCCAGGATGATAGTGTGGCCCCAGGATGATAGTGTGGCTAAGGTAATGGGGCTTAGGACTGGTCAGGGGTCAAGAGGCTCTGTTTATAGGCGACCAGAGGACACACACACACACACACACACACACACACACACAAAGTACTAAAGGTCGATAAGTCACATTCCAAGGTAACAGGTGATGTCACGCTGCTTACCTGTCTCCCGGGGTCATTATAGTGTTACAGGTGGAGGCCATAACAGGTCATGCTACCTCCTCCTCCGCACGACCCCGCAGGTGGTGTGTGGGGAGGAGGAGGGGCAGTTTGGAGTGGTGAGGGTCAGCACAGGACGTGACGTATGGCCGGTCACAGTAGTGACCCTCGGTGACCCCGCCAACAACAATGGCTGCGGGTCCTCTTGGGTAATTACAGCCTCCAGTAAATTACGTCCAGCGTTGAACAATGTGACCTTTTTGTTTGGAAGGGGTGTGGGGGTATGGGGGGTGGGTAATGTGTTGGTTTGTACAGAGGCGGCGAGTTTGTGGGGTAAACAGGAGCGGCACAAAGAACAGACCCTTGAGGACGCCGGGACAACTATACATTAAGGTAGCAACTAATGATGATCACGAAACGTACCACCTGACGCCCTCTCCTGTGTAATAATGGACGGATCTTGATTAGGTTGAAAAATTATAGGAGATTATTACTGTACGGGTGAATACTTGACCGTGTGTTTGGACCGAGTACTGTGCTGTGTGTGTGGATGATTTACGAGTTTACCTTAACCACTTTAACATGTACTCACAGAGGAAGATGAAATTGAACAGTCAGTAATGCTGTTCAAAACCTGTCCCTTGATGCCCTCCAAAGGTCATCCACTTATATAATCCTCCAACAGCATTTACCCCCCCTCCACCCCCTCTCCTATACATGTACCTGCCTGCCTTGTGTCACTGGTGAAGTCTTGGTCCTTCGTGATCTTTATCCAGGGTTTATGTAGTGGTGGTCCGTGCCTAAGTATTTGGCTGCTGGGTGGGCTGTGAGGGTGAGGTTGTTGACTCAGTGAAGGATGGATGTTGTTGGGGTGTTGGTGGTCAGTGGTTGATGGTGCTGTGAAACCTCCATCTAACTGACTAAATGGTAAGGGGGTAGTCCGTTAGATCGAGTCAGTCCGTTAGACGAGA